GAAAGGCTGGAAAAATTGAATGTAAAAACAATGAAGCAAAAAAACAAAATTTAATCAAATCGCTCGCTCAAAATCATTAGATGCCGGAGTTGGATGAGATCCAGTTCCTGAAGTAGGAAACTCTGGCAAACACTGAGGGATGTCCTGCTTCGCATTGACTAGCTCCAAATGAAACAACACCAACTTCAACACCGCTAACCACCAATGGGCCACCAGAGTCGCCATTGCAGGCTCCTCGAGTTCCGGCCCCTGAGGTGCAGATGTGCTGAGCAGTGACGATGCTGCCGAAAGAGCTCTGGCAAACTGCGTTGGTCAGAATGGGGAGTTGAACTGTTCTGAGTTCGTTGGATACAGCATTGCTGGCATCGCTGGTTCTTCCTGCAAAGCAACTGGATGTAAAACCATCTGCGGAGTGAATAGTGGCTTTGGTTCCTACCCCATCCAGTGAGGATACCAGTTGATCCAGCGAAAGTTCCGGAAGTGGCTGGGGCTAGGGAAATGGAAGAAATTCCAGGAGATCCTACTGGGATACCGGCCACTCTCAGAAGAGCGATGTCGTTTTGAAGATTCGCCCTGTCCCAAGCGGAGTGAATAACACGGCCGTTGGCGCTCAATCGGACCTGAGTGGGTTCATCAACAGTGGTTCTGGGGTTATGTGCGCCCACCACCACTTGAACCACCAAAGCTCTGCAATCCGAATTATTCTCAAAACTTTCGGAGGAAATGTTGTTGGTTGAGGACGTACGAGTCAACACAGTGAGCAGCAGTCAAGATCCAATCGCCACTGATGATGGAGGCACCGCAGAAACTGAGAAGGTTCACAATCAAGGCAGCTTGATAGGGAAAAGCGCCACGGGCAGCAACTGTTCCTCCAATCACTCTGAGGCCACCTGGTTGAGGAGGGGCTGGGCCAATGGGCTCGGCGAAAAGATCCAGGGATTTGATATTGTCCCAGTCATATCCTAGTTCCTTTGATTGGGAGACGAGTTAATAATATTTATGTAATTAAATAGAAAACTTACTTCTACGGTTTCTGCAGCAGCAAAGGTCCCGAGGACACAGGCAATGGCAACAATGGCAATCTTCATTTTGGCACTCTTAGTTTAAGCTACCAAACTGGAAAGTCTAGGTTGGTTCGTTGGCTTTTATACCGAAAATCGAGACATGGCCAAATCCCTTTGTGAATTATTGTTTTTCTAATCTAGCTTTCTTTATCCATAATCTCATCGTTCTAATCCCGTTTGATTTAGAATGGTATCTTGATGGATCATATTTCAAGTGCCAAATATTGGCTACTGTGCAATTTTTTCGCTTGAGACCTTTTTGAACGGCGTCAGTGAGATTCACTTTTCAAGATAATATCACCATAAATTTATGAATTTTAGTGACAGAATAGTTGCAATGGGAAAATGATTTAAAACTCCATTGGTATTAATCAATCAAATGCGCAGGAATGTTATCAGTAGCGAATGAAACTTCTAGAGGGAAGTGATTGATAATCGGGGTTTAAGTGAATTTTTGGTGACGTACGCCCAGGATCTTTATCTCAAAGCGCTGTTTGGGTTCCAGGCCAAAAATAGAAGGACAATATTATAGTTGATACAGAATAGAATGTTTATAGACCAGAAAATGTCTTGGCAGGATGTTTGCTAAACGCGCTTGAATAAAATTCACCACCGTGATTTACTGCTGCGAAAGACTGTTTAGAGAATCCCTTTGCTGGTGGAACCTTAGATTTGTCACTCCAATCAGTTGAAAATAGAATAGAATTTTTCATTTGAGCCTGAACTTTGTCACAGATGCGCTCTTAATCGTTCTTCACAACATCAGTTTCCGGGCGCAAAGCTGATGCAACAGCAAAGATGTACAGCGGGTTTTTCATAGGTTGACACCCTCTCTAGATCATTTATTGCAACAATTGTAAATCAGTCGTTCAGTTGCAGCCGCGAATTTTCCCAAAATTTCCAAGTAATCAAACGGGAAGAGGCCAACTTTGAACCACCCTGTAGTCGGACGATTTTAATTTTCCCCACTATACTATTCATGGAATTTTAATAATAATTAAGCTACAATGAGCATTGAAATTGAACAATGAACATCCTCCGAGTTGGTACAATTTACATCCTGCCCCTATGCGCTCTTTGAAGTGACTTTCCCTTGCAAGTCAATTCTCTTTGGATTCAATCTAATTAGCGCTCCCCGTGTAAATGTCTTTTTAGACCATCTCTGTAGCTGTTGTTACGCCGTCTTCACTTAGGAAAATTCCTCCAGTTAACATCGCCCCCTTTCAATGGCTGGTGATTCTGTTGCAATGCGAAGATTGATGATTTTCGGGGCAGAAAAAAATCGTCACGCGGAAATTGATAACGCAAATGATTATCTCGAGGAATGAAAACGAAAACCATTATCCACTTTACGGTTGATCCCCGATGAATGCGAAGCAAGTAATGTAATAAGAGGGAAAACAATTTATTCCGGCAGAAAATAATCGGATTATAACAGTCGTCTTGAAATGTCGGTTCACATTCTTAGCCAACTTAATTTAGCCACCACCTGCCAGCTTTAACAAAGCGATGGGCCTGCCAACATTACTTTGCCATTAGGAAAAATCCTCCAGGGGTTTCCGAAAATAATTTATCTACAACTGAATAATTTCCGACAGCTTCATTTTCGGTTTAAATTCACCGAGTTTAAGGAAACTCGTATTGGCATGAGATTGAACAGAAACAAGCACTTTACTGGAATGTTCGGTCTTTTATATATTTTGTATGCTCAATTATTTAATACACATTTTTCATGGCACTGCTACAAATACATCCCAAACTCATTCAACTTGTTTATTTATTCACGCGAAACATTGCATCTAGACAAATTGTGGCCGAAATTCCATTTAGGAAAATGGATGTGTCAGATCCATAACATGAAGAGAACAAACCGGGCTCGACAATTATGTAAAAAAAATTGTTTCGTTATGAGTTTGTGGAAACTAATTCGATCCGACAACAGAGACTAAGCTTCAGGATATAATATTTCCTTGCTGCGTGACCTGCTGGAAATATATATATTTCGGAAGTAGAAAATGAAAAAAAATCCTTGGCCCTGGAAGGCGAAATAACGGAAGTACATTGATAAAATCTCTTATTGTTCACTGGTGGATTATTCAGAAGATCAATATAATGGCGTATGGACGATGTTTTTAATATTCTTCACTAAGTCGGCACTGAAGTAGACTAGATCGATTCATTTCAAAATGGAGCTTTTGCCTCAGATTTCTATTGTTGTTAAAATTTGCCTTGCAAAATTTTGTCTTCAGCAGCAACTTTGTAACTATTCAAATATACTTCATTTTTAATTAGCGGTTCCTTGTTATCTCGTTCAGCCGGTATTATCAATTTTCCCGAGTAATTGAAAAGACATCGGCAAAGAATTAATTAATTCCAATAAGCAAAGCTTCAGTGGCCACCCTTTTTCTGGCTTGAAACGCGTCGTTCTTTAGTAATTTCTGAGATTTGGCTTGTTGACGTCTAGTTTCCTCATCTGTAGGTCATTTGATGCGGTATAAATGTAACATTTTTACCTGTGATTTTCTCAAAGTTGATTTTTGAATGGATCTAACTTTAAACTTATAATGAGATCAAATACATTCGTATGTGAACTAGCTAGAGTATCTTAATGCAAGACTTAAGACTACCGAAATATAAAAACTTTATTTACCGGTTCGAAAAATTGTATAATTCGATTACAAGCCTTTATGTTAACTGTTCGTTTTTTTGTAATGTTGTCTTCTTCCTTCCTACCGGATCTGTATGGTGCATATTTGCTCTCCAGTAAAATACTTTTGAACCGTTGCGTCTAGTGATTGAACATTACTGTCTTCTGCGTCTTCTGCTGCATTTATTTAGTTTCCAGATTTATTTCCAGTTTCACTACTATTTGATTATTCCATAGTTTCATATAGAAGATTCCACATTTTTGCAGGCGGATGATTGGTGAAACACTTTGTTTGTAGAAAATGAAGATAAAATTGCAGGCACATGCTTCTGCCATCAGTTTGAATGGTGTTTCAAGTTTAACGTTTAGCAAGTTAATATGTCAGCTGAAATGTCGGGGTTTGTAACTGTGTGATTCCCCCCGGATTGCAGCCACTAAATATGGATTTTTGTTCTCAACATTGCGACCGGCTAATTGCTCCCTCGATACCGTTAACTTTCCCCAACTTCCAGATGACATATGATTAACGATACTTTGTTGGACATTTAAATTATGGTCTGGAAAACTATTATTTCTGTAAATGCGTTCGCTCGCCCTGAAGAGGCTATTAATAACAACTCGTTCGCATTTTTACGTTTCGCCTTTACAAAATGTTAATTTAGTGGAATGATATATCTGAATATTTCTCGGAAATAGTATTCGGCAGAGATTTGTGTGGGCTATTAATACAGCAGCGTGTTTTGTTTTACATCTGTTTTTCCTGTCGCTGGATGTCGGCTAAGTTGAGGATAAGTGTATGTTTGTTTCGATCATTAAGGCTGCCATCAGGAGTCATTAATTTCTAGCCTTCTGGGTGGGACTTGCCAAAACAGCATCAGTTAGTCTCAGAAGCGTTTTGATATTTCCACATGGGAGGAAAAAGAAATCCGCTTATATTTGATTTTTACATTCAGCGCGTTTATGGCGCATTATTTTCCCCGTTTTTCCGGCCTCGCAGTGTAATTGAGTGATTATTTACTCTGTTCCTGGCTTTAATTAAGCAAATCTTTGTCACAATATTGACGCTTTATGGATTAAGATTAAAGCTTTTATGCGCGCCTACATTAAAAAGCCGCAGGAGGGCGTTTAATAACATTTGCATTCGGGAAAAAACGAATTTTGCTGATGTCGAATTTACAGTTTTATTGCCAAAAAAATGACCTTTGTCAAAACAGCTTGCTCAATGTCGGTAACGTTTGAATAATTGGTGATTTTTATAATGAAGACATATAATATAGAAGTATGTTCGTGGCGTTGTCCCGTACTTCTGAAGATGCCGGAAGATGCAAAATTCTCGATTGTTCAAGAGTTGATTAATGATCAAAGCGGGTATTTTTCAACTGGTTAAGTTAATAAATGTAATGTAATTCTTTGCATGTACCGGAACGAATTCACAATCAAATTATTACCTAATTTCCACGCAAGATTAAAAGGGAAATTTGCAGGTTACCCCATTCATCCATAATTGATAATAGGTGGAGTATAATTCGCAATTCCACAGTCGCCTCCTTTTAATTATCTCCCCAAACTCAAATATTAGAAGTTTCAGCCAACGCTCTCTCTTAATTCCCAAACCAGCCCAGTTTCGCTCTTAAATCGATGCTCAAGCATTCAAAGGCAAATTATTCCTAACTTGCGGTCTGAGTGTGGGCAAATAAGACGTATTTTATTATAAAATTTACATTGCAAATTGAATTATGTACAATCCACTTGGAAGCTGTATACAGCCTGACTGATATGAAGTGTCCCATGATCAAACGACTGTATTTTTTCACTTTTTCACTCAGTAAACTGCTTATAATAATTACACATATTGGTTGATTGATTTGCCAGATATTTGCCAGAATTTCTGGTTGAAATATGGTTTTGATTACATAAAAAGTCCCGTTTGTCCGCTCTTCTATATTGGGGGAGCATTCGACTAAATCCGGAATATTAAAGACGCCTTTATTGGAAAGCCTAGCGGTTTACCCCAATATGGCAGCTATTATTGTAAAATGCCAATATACGAATAAATTTCCCTCTAGCAAGCCAACGCTGTTGATTATGCGCTTGAAACAACTTTGCTATAATGTGCGCCTTTTATTTACACCGTTTCTGTGCTGTTTTATATTTTATTTAAATTGATTATAACCATTCATTAACCATTCATCTCTGCACATCAGCAGTAATGGGGGTATTTGGTAGAGAAAACTTCAAGTTAACAGGAAAAAGATAAATTAGGTTTCAAGACGAGTAATCAACGATAATATATTTATGCGTCCCGGCTTTCTTTCGGAAAATCCCTTAAAAGCGGTGTCAATTAAACTGGCATTATTAGCTTAATTATATGCCGTGGAGTGTGTCAAAAATTCATTAGCTAATTGGCAAAAAACGTCTTTTCAAGACCCTCAACAACAAGCGTGAGCTGGCTGATTGTCGGCCCGTTCGTGACCAAGTCGATCAGGGCATTAAAGGCAGCGGCCAAAGGCATGGAGAATATCAAACAAATTAAAAATCAATAAAAATTACGGCGATGCAAATGATAACTTGCCTCAAAATGTCTATGTTTATGCATCATTATCT